GGGGGGGGGGGGGGGGGGGGGGGGCAACGTCTACTAGGAACGCTTTGGGGGGTCTGGGCAGTGACACCGTCCTGTGTGAAGGCCTTCAGGAGCGTCGACATCGGCGTCACGTGCGCCACCTGAGGATTCCAGTGTCTGTCGTGCAATCATCGTTGAGCTAACCGTCGTCTCCGTTGGGAGTTGCTGGGAAAAAGAGCCAACCACCGTCACTGAGGAATAGATCCGCGAGGTTCACGTCTGGGAAACGTGTGCCTGGTGGTGCCTATTTGCACGCATGCTGGCTGGCTTCAGCCCTAGGGGGCAGTGTTGGAGTATTTTGAATACAAGAACGACTCTATTCTGTGTACTGCATTGATTTATGCGTTTATATGGAGGCGTTCCCAAGTCTATAACCGTGACTCGAAGACAGGTTGAGTGTCTGTGGATAACATTACAGTGCCGGCCCACTCGTAAGAAACACCTGTGTCAGCTGAGGCTCAATTCTTATTGCCGCAGCCATAGTGGGCTGAATTCCTTATGTCGGCATTTCCTATTTTTCCCCGAAGAGAATTGCACGATTTCTTATTTTCGCCATTTCCTATCTTTTCGCCACCATGCAAATTGCACGATTTCTTACCATTACTATTTCCTTTTCCAGCCACGAAGCTTTGCAATACCCGCGGGGTACATGCTTGCACGACACCCGGCGATACTGAACTGAAAAAAAAGAAGCGCAAAGTCATTGTGCAAATGTGCGTGCGGACAAAATACTCCGTATATCCCTAACGCCCTTCGAAATCGATTGGTAAAGTTGTCACAACTTGGCATGCTCTATCCCGGTTGGTCAATGTTGCGAACGTTGGGGGTTCGTGCCCTACTTCCCTGCCGCCGTGGCTGTTCACCCTCACACACCCCCGCCGGCTCATTCGAATCGTCGATCGGCTCGATCAACGCCCACGCTCCTACGGCTGCATTCGCCTCGTCTACGTCATATGCATCTAGAGGCATCTTCACACTGATGGTGCTTCGATCGTACGCCAAAACCACGATGTAGTCGTAGGTGTGGCTAGTTTGCGGGGGCGCTGCCCGGCTGATCCGCCTCAAGAACCACCCCATACCACGCGTCAAGAACACGCAACGCTTAATCCTTGCGAAATCCAGCTTGGAGGAGACTCTTGAAGACCGAATCCGACCGGAAGCTCCATCGCGATGATGTCATCGTCGGATTCGACGTCATCATCGCTGTCTAGCTGTGACAGGGGGTCTTGCACTTCGCCGTGATCATCACCTAGCAAATGAAGCGATGGGAAAAAAAATGTCGAGAAAAAACCGGTGTGAGACAAGCGCGTTTGAACAAATTCACAGGCCCCCACCAGTGCATGCAAAACGAGGGGCAAAGGCGAAATACAAACCGGACCTAGACTCGAAAATTTACCATAATCATCTGCGCTTGCGTCGCTGTCGCAGCTTGATTCGCCACCGCCCGCCCCCCCATCGTCGTCGCCGACCTCATCATCCTGGTCGGGCATCTCCTCGTCACTGCTCGTGCCCCCGTCCATGAAGTTGTACGCCCCAACTACACCCTCCGGAGTGATGCGGTCGTCCAACGACCAGTCTGCCGTCATCGCCAGTCCGGTGTTCTCGAACAGGCGATGGCGGTACCCAGGCCGAGCGCCCATTCGCGCGACCGCCCTTGCAATGAATTGCGTGAAAAGGATTCGCCTTGCACCAGCTGAAAGCTTGTTGGTGTCCCACAGGCAAAGGTTTTCCTCGTGCCCAAGAAATTTATCCAGCTCGTTACCGACTTCGACTTTGAGGAGGCGTCCATAGCCGGCATCGACCCGTTAGAGTTCGTCGGTCAACTTGGGGGGAAGTAGCCGCAGCAGCGTGTTGCACTCGCCGTGTAGGAATTTCTTGAACTCGTCCGTTGTCTGCGCGTGCAGGTTGTCCGCGAAAAGGATGGACTGCTCCTCTGGAACGACACCTTCCTCCCCCTCGATGCTGCGTAGGAAGCTGTTTTTTGCCCACGCCATGCACATTGGGCCGTCCATCCACGCGTTCTCCTGGAAGAGCACGTCCACGCCGGGGTCATACGCCGCCTTCTCCACCGCCGAGACTTTTCCTTTGCCGCGGAAAATGACCGCGGTCCGCATCAACTTGTCGCCAGCTCCGATGCAACAGTTGACGGTGCACTGTCGCTTCTCAAGACCAGGGAACGGCTGCCCAATTTGCACTCGCAAAGCTCCCGTCTCGTCCCATGTCGAGTCGGGGCCGTTGACGAATGCGAGCCCAACCTGGTCGACGTTGAAATGCGCATTCAGGCTGAAGCCCCCGTACAGGGGCGATTCCACAGGAACGATCGCAGCGCCGTTGTTCTCGGCGGCGCCCCCAGCAGCGGCCCGGCGAACGGGTAGTTCCTGCAGCAGCTGGCGCAGCCTCCTGCGGAAGCTCCTCATCTGCGGAAGACGGTCCTCCACCGACTTGTTCTTCATGTTTGTGCGTCTTCGTTTCGAGAGATGGTGGCGCTTCGCGAACTTCCTGCACCACCGGTCCGACGCTGAAAAGTTCTTTGCACGCGGGTCGTCCGGATACATTTCCACGACAAGCTTTCTCGCGTTGACTCGAATCCAGGCTGTCGACACTCTGAGCTTCCTCGTGCGCCGTTGCAGCAGCAGCGAGTGCAGCTTCTTCTCTGCGTCTCCGAACCACCTCCTCTCCCTGCCAGTCTTGAAAAGGTCGTTCTTCAAGTCATTGGCCGCGGCTGCGATCAGCTTCTCTGCGTCACCGTTCCACTTGCAGATGTTGGGTTGGGAAATGCCGGTCTTCCTTGCCAGGAACTGCTGGCACGACACGCCGTGAACATGCCAGATCTTTTCGGCGTCATCGGCCTCCAGCTCTCGCAGCTCCGCGACCACCGCAGCCTTCTTCTTGTTGCTGTACTGCGTCCTCTTCTCAGCCCCTCGTGTTTTCTTCCGCTTGGTGCGTTCTTCGTTTGACAAAAGGCCGTCATCTGGCAAGTCTGATGTACCATCGCCTTGGGTCCTTGGCTGCAGCTCAAACGAACAGCTCCCTCGCACGTGGTACATTTTCTGGCCCGACGCAGCGGTGTGCCCGCCTCCCTCTGAGTGGTGAAAGACGACATTAAACACCTGCCCGAATACCCGTGCCAAGGTGGAGTCGTCATAGTCCCACCCGTCGCGAGGGCGCGCCTGAGCCCTCGTCCAAGATGCCGAAGAGGAGCTGGGTGCACGGCACTACAGTGTAGCGATCGACCTTGTTCGGAGGCAAATGTCTTCGGGCAGTACAGGCACTTCGATTTGGGAGGAGGTGGTGCGATGGGATAGTGGACGCGGGTGACTTCCTCTACGATGCCACTGCGGGTATGCATGATTTCAAGGTCAACTACTCGTAGGCCTTGGGCATGGCTCGCCTTGGTGGTGACCCGGGGCGCTTTCACCTTGGGCAAGGTCCTTCGAAGGATCGGGAAATCGTAGACCTTAGACATGATTCGCCTGTGTGGTGACCTTGTGGCTTTTTAACCTTGCTCAAGGTGCGTGCGAAATTCCAGTTCCGCCGGACCTTGCTCAACGCTTGACCTTGCATTACCTTAGGGCCTTATTTTCTTTGCACAAGGTCCTTCTAAGGTCCAGACATCGTAGACCTTGGATATGGGCACCCTTGTGATAACCTTGGGGGCATTGTTTCCTTGGCGAGGGTGCGTGCAAGGACTGTCCAAGGTACCGGTGGTGGATCAACCTTGTGTAACGGGGGGGTAGCATCCACCTGTGTTGCAAGCCTGGCCATTAGGAGCTTGCGGCGTCTTGTCTTGCTGAAGGCACAATTCACCTTCCGCACACGGTATTGTGCGCCTCTACGTGGAGCTGTAGGGTCTGTAGATGCACGCGTGTACTCCTACTGGTGTGTAACCTCCTCAGGGCAGGTGCGTGGTGGTAGCTCCGGGGGACCATGATCCTGGCATTCATCTGGTGGCATCGACCTCCGCTTGTGCAGACCAGCCTCCTCTTCTCGAACATGGGCCCGATCTGGTCGGTGGCACGCTTCTGTTGGACTCGGACTCATACACCACCCGGGTCCTGCTGCATGGAGGACCTATAGCCACTTCTCAACTTGCGCGAGTGGCGCTTCTGGACTCTGGGTCTCCTGCATCCTTCGTTTCCGACTCCGTGGTCACCGCCATGATAGCTGCCGGAGCCCTGACAGCTGGCAGCGTTCGTGTTTCGCCCTCTCGTCGTTAGAGTGGGTTTGGTGGTGGACCCGCCCTTGTGACCACCCGGTCAATTCGTCTCACCGTAAATTTTTTCCATGAAGATAGAGCTACCGCTTCTTTGGCGGTCTGGACCTGTGTTGCTCCAGACGCCGCCATGGGGCACGCCGTGCTTCTGGGTCTTGATAGCTGGATGCGCTTCAACTCTCGCGTGTTCACCGCCCTCCCCCACCCTGGACCGGACGGCCGGGTTATGGGCGAGCTCACGCTCTCTCCGCGTTTTTCAGCTGGCGCTTGCGTTTACGCTACACATGACGACGCTCCTGCCTCCTGGTTTCACCTTAAATATGCAGGGAGCTCGGGAATTTCTTTGGGGCCGGAGCCTGCACTCGTTGAGGTGGACCTCGTTCGTCCTTCTGGCATGCCTGCGCTGATTGGAGAGTATCTGGTATCGTTCAAACCCGAAGTGGGTGCGCTTTCGTCCCCAGATGCGTTCGTTTCCAATGGTCTCCAGCGTATTCCCCTTGCAGGTTGTGCCGAGCTCGAGCCGGGAGACGTAATTGGAGTGTCTGCCGCGCCGCTACTACGAGTACCGGTGGAAACCCTGAAGGCGGCACCATCTTCGATTCCTACCGGCCCCACAACATCTACATCACCACCTCGGGTCAACGCCGTTGGCCCCAAGTCCGGGACTCACCGCTCTCCGGACCCAGCCTCCGCCCCGCCTCCTCCGAAGCCGCCTCCACAAGAAGTACTTGACCGCTTCTCTGAGGCACAGCGCTCCAGCTTCATGCGCTTGTGGGCTAGGCTGCCCGCACATATGCACGACATCGCTTTCGATCTACACAATCCGGGATGGACACCGGAGGCTATTGATCGTTTGGCCGACGCCCTTGTGGAGTATTCTGACGTGTTCTCTACTTCGAAAACCGATTTTGGTTTCTGCACCATCATGCCGTTCACGCTTTCGGTTCCAGCAGGGACGAAGCCCGTTGCATCACGCCCGTATCGTACCAACCCGTTGATGCAAAAGAAAGTGGATACCGTTTTGGACCAGTATTTGGCGGCAGGGCTCATTCAACATTCCACATCTCCGTGGGCTTCTCCTTTAGTTGTCATCCTCAAGAAGGACGGATCGGTTCGCATCACGGTCAACTACAAACGTCTCAACGCTCTGGTGGATCTGGATGGACAACCTCTCCCTCTGTAAACCGGGAAAGTGTTCTCCATCTTCGACCTCAACTCGGCTTTCCACCAGATTGTTTGTGATGAAGACACTGTCCCGCTCACCGCCTTTTGCACTCCCACGCAGTTGTTCGAATGGCTTCGGATGCCGCAGGGCGCCAATGCAAGTCCGTCTTGGTTCGTCAAGGTCATCAATAGAGTGGTGCACGGTCTGGAGCGTGTGCTTGCTTATCTGGACGATGTCAGATGTTTTGATGAGGAACCTCTGGGACACGTGCTAAACTTGATCGAGTTGTTCAAACGACTGCGACAGTCCAACCTCAAACTGTCTCCAGGGAAGGCTCTCGTCGGCGCCACGCACGCCAACTTTCTCGGTCACACCATCTCTCCGGCAGGTGTTAGCCCTGATGGCGTTAAGGTTAGGGCGCTCACGCACATGCCGCCGCCGACGAATGTTAAGCAGCTTTGGAGGCTTCTCCGTGGACTCAGTTACTACCGGAAATTCCTCAAGAATCTCGCCACCAAGGTACGACCTCTCTACTCTCTTCTCAAACAAGGCGTCCCCTTCAAGTACACCCCGGGCATGGTCAAGGCTGTCAAAACGTTGTCAAGCGAACTCGCTTGCCCCTCGATTTCGGTCTTCCCGGATTGGGCAGCAATCGAGGACAACAGCCGTCCTCTTTGGTTGTGTTCCGACGCGTGTATCGACGGTTTTTGCACCTCCTTGGAACAAGAACAGCTCGATGGCTCGGTGAGAACCATCGTGTACATCAGCCGCGCTACTCTTCCTGCGGAGCGTAACTGGACCGTTTTGGATCTGGAGGCTGGTGGCATTGTTTGGGCCTTCAAATGCCTTCGCGGTTAGCTGTGGTCGACCAAGTTCATCATCTATTCGGACCACAAAGCCTTGGAGAGCATTGGAAAGGTTCGGGAACGCAAGGTNGCAACTATCACTCGTCGTCTACGCCGGAGGTCGGTTTGGGTGGGCTCCGTCCTCCTTGCACGGCGGGAGTCGTTTCGCCCCCAGCGTTGCAGCCCTCCGATTTTGGGGATTTTTGCCGACATTACCCGCGTCGGTTGGATGCTCTGACGGACTCAACGAGTGCCTGCGAGAATTCTCGGCGGTCCCCGGGGGTCTTCATCGTCTCGCCTGTTCTCGCATCTTCAGGGCCTGCTTCCCCATTGACTTCGGATGCGTCCCGCGTGATGTCTCCTGTCGCGTCTTTGGCGACCAGATATGTGCACGTTTTGTCTTCGCTTCCGGAGCAGGAACCGCTCATTTCTTCACGGACTCGGGCCAAAACTACCACTNGCCCTCCGATTTTGGGGATTTTCGCCGACATCACCCGCGTCGGTTGGATGATCTGACGGACTCAACGAGTGCCTGCGAGAATTCTCGGCGGTCCCCGGGGGTCTTCATCGTCTCGCCTGTTCTCGCATCTTCAGGGCCTGCTTCCCCATTGACTTCGGATGCGTCCCGCGTGATGTCTCCTGTCGCGTCTTTGGCGACCAGATATGTGCACGTTTTGTCTTCGCTTCCGGAGCAGGAACCGCTCATTTCTTCACGGACTCGGGCCAAAACTACCACTGTTTCCGGAGGCACCGTCACCGGTCCCGCTTATTTCGGACGCCAGTCGCGGGCTACCATCGTCCCTCGGACATCGTCGCCTGCCCGTCGCTCTAGCAGGTCCCGCTCGACAACAAGACCACCCGGACCGCCGCACGTCTGCTGCCGCCATCCGCAACGCCGGCATCGGCGTTTTCGTCGACTGCTCTTGCGCCACCGGTGTCTTCGCCGTCAGCGGCGCGCCCTGCACCCACGGCGTCGCCCTCTCTACAGGTTTCGCCCGGGACTTCGCACTCACGATGTCCCCTTCGCAGACATCACCACAGACTGCAGCTGCCCCAGTCGCTGAGGCTTCGCCTTCATCAGCCTCTTCCGTTGGATCGCCTGAATTTTTTCGGAATCTTCTGATTTGGACACCTCCCACTTGCGGGCTTGTGTTCAGAGTTTCAGTACTGTGGACTGGGCTAAGGAACAACCGCGGGAGAGCGAGTGTGTGGTGGCTATGCGTTTTTCGTCTCGCGGTTCTCCCTCCCCACCCCCTCCGGACTTGCTCACTCTCTGTGCTCCTCTTCGCTCCCCTCGGTTAGATGATGCGCTTGTGTTGGCGGCGAAAACCAGACTGCACACGACCGATGACAACATCACCCTCCTCGTACACAAATCGACGACGCCGGTTGGGCGCANCTCCCACTTGCGGGCTTGTGTTCAGAGTTTCAGTACTGTGGACTGGGCTAAGGAACAACCGCGGGAGAGCGAGTGTGTGGTGGCTATGCGTTTTTTGTCTTGCGGTTCTCCCTCCCCACCCCCTCCGGGCTTGCTCACTCTCTGTGCTCCTCTTCGCTCCCCTCGGCTAGATGATGTGCTTGTGTTGGCGGCGAAAACCAGACTGCACACGACCGATGACAACATCACCCTCCTCGTACATAAATCGGCGACGTCGCCGGTTGGGCGCTCTGGCGGCAGGACCACTCGTCTGCCGGATACTGGCGTGCCCCGTGTCTACGTGCCAATGCTGATGCGTCCGTGGGCCCTTCATGCATGCCATACCGCCGCGTCATTCCATCTGGGCGTCCGTCGTACACAGCGTCTACTCGAGCGCTTCTACTGGTGGATTGGTTTGGATCGTTCCGTGCGCTGGTGGCTTCGGGCGTGTTTGGTGTGTCAAGCTCGCAAGACTTCACGTCAGACTGCTCGGTGGCCCGTCATCGCTATGCCATTGCCGCAGGGGCCTGGTACGGTCGTCGGCGTCGACTTCTTCGGACCTCTGCCAGTGACTGCCAAGGGCAACTCCTACATTTTGTTGTTCACAGACAGTTTCAGTCGGAGAGCCGATATGTTCGCAGTTACAGCGGCGGAATTTAGGGCGAGAGGGACGGCTCACATCTTCGTCAAACAATCCTTGACCAAGTGGGGATGTCCGACTACGTTATTGTCGGACAACGGACTGCATTTCTGCTCGAAGCTCTCCATGGCGATCTACGAGGTGATGAAGATCAAGAAGGTCACCACCAGCGCCTACCACCCACAGACCAACGGCGGCACGGAACGCGTCAACCACACGATGACCCAGATGCTTGCGGTGGTCGTCAACGAACAGCAATACGATTGGGGCATACATCTCCCGCACGTTGAGTTTGCCTACAACAATTCCGTGAACCAGTCTACTGCATTAGCGCCGAACGAGATCCACATTGGACGCATCCCGCGACTCCCGCTTTCGGTCTTCGATCATCCCACGGTAGGTGGTCATCAAAGCTTGGCCCGCGATCAACTCGAGTATTGCAACCTGGCTGTCGATCGCCAGCGCCGGGCCTACGAACTTGTCCGTGAGTACAACGCGCTGAAGATTTCGCGAGTCGANAATTCGCACTTTCCTGGACGGGGCCCTCCAAAGTTCTTGCGGTGGGTCCCACCTCTGCCGACGCCACTCCGGACGGCCGCCCGTTGGCGTGTAAACTCCTCTACCTGGACCTGCCTTCCGATCTTTCCGGGCCGGCAGCTCGTTGTCGCGTGTCTGCNCCTGCTGGACGCCATTCACAAGCTCCCTCAGTTTACCGTTGGCGGGTGGATGTGGGTGGACAACACGGCCGCTACAATTCGACAGGGTGTGCAGAAGGACACGGACCAACAGGTGCTCAAGTCCGAATTCGCACTTTCCTGGACGGGGCCCTCCAAAGTTCTTGCGGTGGGTCCCACCTCTGCCGACGCCACTCCGGACGGCCGCCCGTTGGCGCTGTGGTACAAGGCCCGTGATGGATTGTGGTGGACCGGACGTATTGGTGCTCATCAGGGCGGCTCGTACACCGTTCGATTTTTGGATGACCCGGGCCCAAGCGTTCTCCCTCTGCCTTCGCATCTCTACTCCACCGCCTTGGACGCCGTCTGTCTGTGGATCATGGTGTTGAGAGAAACATCATTCGCGCCCTCTGGGCGACAACCGTGGTCGCACTCCGCTCCTTGCTGACTTCTTACCGTCGACTGTACCCACCATTTCTTCTTAGCGTCGTCGTTTTCGTATACCAATCGGCCTATTTTGGTCTTTTGTGCCATCCTTCTCGCCGACGTTTTGCTTGTGTTTTTTTTTTTTTGTCACCTTCCGTTTTGTTTTATGTTGTTTTGTTTTGTTTTTCTGTCTTGTTTCTTTCCTTTCGTTGGCTTATTTTTTGTTTTTGACGCTGGGGCAACGCCGCCTCAAGACACGCAGTGTCAAGTGACCCTTCTTCCTTGTTGCCTGCATTCATCTCAATCAGTGAACTGCCGCGACCTGGATGTCCGTTCTCTCTCGCCTTTGCTTCAATTTTTGTTTGTTGTTGTTGGTCTTTGGTTCTCTCGACAAGCTCCCTCCGAAGTTTCGTCGATGTTGTCTGCCTCTGAACACATGGAAAAAGAGTTCCCCAAGTTTCGTCGGTGATGCTTGCCTCAGGACACTTGGACACTGAGTTCCCCGCGTTTTCCTGGTTCGCCTGTTTGCCAACTAATGTTGTCCTCAATTTTTTTGTTTTAGTTCCATCGTGCCCGCAGAAGTGTCGCATACACTTGGTGCTTCGGGATTCCATCCCGTGGCGTCGCCTTCTCCCATGGATTTTCGCCGTCACCCACACTTCGTTCTGCTTCGTCTCAATCATCGCCACCTTCGGGCGACGCCTTCATCACAGTAGCGCCCCTGAGTAGTCGTCTCGAATTTCTGTGTTTTATGTCTTTGAATGATGCGTATCGCCAGCGAGCCATGGCGCAGTTCGTCGACCGCCTCTCTTGCATTTATCGCTCGTGCTTTCCATCCTTGGTCCTCAATAGGTCTTGCCCCTGCCGTCTCCTTATACGAGTTGGGCACCCTGGCACGCTGGCCATCGTTCTCCGTGCCTTTGCCTGTCTTTCTTTTCTCCTGCCCTTCGTTAACGTCCTAGATTGCGTTGAGTTTTCACTTTGCGTCGCGTCCAGTATCAAAGAAAGGCCGTATTCGTTCGGAAATTTGTTTGGGTTTTGAGTTTCGTCACCGTATTTTGGACTCTCTCGGGTAGTCACCCTCATTCCTCCAGCGGTGATACGCGCGGGTGCGCGTAAGAGAGTATAGGATGCGGGTCGGTCAGGAGGTATACCCTTCTGACCCCTACCCCCTTAGAATTGTCTACTCTGTGTACCCCCTGAGATGAAGTTGGATCCCCACTTCATCTCAGACCCTTGCTGATCGTCTCTCAGCAATAACAAGCAACTTTCCCATCTCAACGTGGTCGTGGACAAGCGTGTCAACGACGGAACCTTCATCTATCTCTAGGAGCAAGCTACCGCACACGGCTTCACTCCTTGAAAGTGGTGCGTGGTTTGTGTGAGTGTAAAAAAAAGAAACCGGCGCATTGCGGTGTGTAGAGGTGCCCAAACCGGCGTTATTACGGGCCGCCCTCAAACACGCCGGTGTGGCGAGGGCTCTGACTGTGCCCAGCAATTTTACCGGCGCTATTGAGGGCCACCGGCGTTATTCAACCGGCGTTATTGAGGGCCCCCCACTGTATTTACAGTAAGTGTCCCGATATAGTGCCGATTGAATAGTGCCAAAGTCCGGTATAGTGCCAGTACATTTTCTTGACACAGACACAGGCCTGAATAGTGCCAAATCGGCACTATTGAGGGCTTCCCGCTATAGTGCCGGTTCAGGCACTGTCGAACCCCTCAATAGTGCGAGCCTGTTTTTTTTTGTTTTGGTCTTCACTTCAAATCAGCGCTCACAGCACTGGTCTGGTGCCGTTTCCTCCAACCCGTGGTCACACAGAAGAGCCCCCCTCTACCCTCCCCTCCTGCGGTAC